CTCCCTAGCAACGAGGGGGTGGGGCTTGTTTCCATGGCAACGGGTGGTGTTTTCACGGCAACAAGGGGTGTGTGTGTCGTCTCCATGGCGACCGAGGGGGCGGGGCTTCCGTCTCCATAGCAACGGGACAACCGCCGGGGAAGGGGCCGTTGCCATGGAGACGGTGGGGGGGCAGATTTTGGGGTGAAATGGGGGTAATTTTGGCTCCCCGGGGTAGTTTTGGGGTGAAATGAGGGTAATTTGCCGTTCTGGGGTCAGATTTTGGGGTGAAACAGGGTAATTTGGGGTCCTGGGGGCAGATTTTGGGGTGAAATGAGGGTAATTTGGGGTCCCTGGCATAGTTTTGAGGGGAAAATGGGGGTAAATTGGGGTCCCCAGGGTAGTTTTGGGGTGAAATTAGTGTAATTTGGGGTCCTGCAGTCAGTTTTGGGGTAAAATGAGGGTAATTTGTCATTCTGGGGTCAGATTTTGGGGGGGAAACAGAGTAATATTGGGTCCCTGGGGTAGTTTTGGGGTGAAATTAGGATAATTTGGGGTTCTCAGGGCAGATTTTTGGGGTGAAATTAGTGTAATTTGGGGTCCTGGGGTCAGTTTTGGGGTGAAATGAGAGTAATTTGTCATTCTGGGGTCAGATTTTCGGGTGAAACAGGGTAATTTGGGGTCCTGGGGGCAGATTTTGGGGTGAAATGAGGGTAATTTGGGGTCCCCGGCATAGTTTTGGGGTAAAATGGGGGTAATTTGGGGTCCCCAGGGTAGTTTTGGGGTGAAATTAGTGTAATTTGGGGTCCTGCAGTCAGTTTTGGGGTGAAATGAGGGTAATTGGTTGTTCTGGGGTCAGATTTTGGGGTGAAACAGGGCAATTTTGGGTCCCTGGGGTAGTTTTTGGGGTGAAATTAGGATAATTTGGGGTTCTTAGGGCAGATTTTGGGGTGAAATTAGTGTGATTTGGGGTCCTGGAGTCACTTTTGGGGTGAAATGAGGGTAATTTGTTGTTCTGGGGTCAGATTTTGGGGTGAAATGAGGGTAATTTTGGGTCCCCAGGGTAGTTTTGGGGTGAAATTAGGATATTTTGGGGTTCCCAGGGCAGATGTTGGGGTGAAATTAGTGTAATTTGGGGTCCTGCAGTCAGTTTTGGGGTAAAATGAGGGTAATTTGTCATTCTGGGGTCAGATTTTGGGGGGGAAACAGAGTAATATTGGGTCCCTGGGGTAGTTTTGGGGTGAAATTAGGATAATTTGGGGTTCTCAGGGCAGATTTTTGGGGTGAAATTAGTGTAATTTGGGGTCCTGCAGTCAGTTTTGGGGTAAAATGAGGGTAATTTGTCATTCTGGGGTCAGATTTTGGGGGGGAAACAGAGTAATATTGGGTCCCTGGGGTAGTTTTGGGGTGAAATTAGGATAATTTGGGGTTCTCAGGGCAGATTTTTGGGGTGAAATTAGTGTAATTTGGGGTCCTGGGGTCAGTTTTGGGGTGAAATGAGAGTAATTTGTCATTCTGGGGTCAGATTTTCGGGTGAAACAGGGTAATTTGGGGTCCTGGGGGCAGATTTTGGGGTGAAATGAGGGTAATTTGGGGTCCCCGGCATAGTTTTGGGGTAAAATGGGGGTAATTTGGGGTCCCCAGGGTAGTTTTGGGGTGAAATTAGTGTAATTTGGGGTCCTGCAGTCAGTTTTGGGGTGAAATGAGGGTAATTGGTTGTTCTGGGGTCAGATTTTGGGGTGAAACAGGGCAATTTTGGGTCCCTGGGGTAGTTTTTGGGGTGAAATTAGGATAATTTGGGGTTCTTAGGGCAGATTTTGGGGTGAAATTAGTGTGATTTGGGGTCCTGGAGTCACTTTTGGGGTGAAATGAGGGTAATTTGTTGTTCTGGGGTCAGATTTTGGGGTGAAATGAGGGTAATTTTGGGTCCCCAGGGTAGTTTTGGGGTGAAATTAGGATATTTTGGGGTTCCCAGGGCAGATGTTGGGGTGAAATTAGTGTAATTTGGGGTCCTGGGGTCAGTTTTGGGGTGAAACAGGGTAATTTGGGGTTGTGGGGGCAGATTTTGGGGTGAAAGGGGGGTAATTTGGGCCCCCTGGGGCAGTTTTGGGGTGAATGGGACACGGCGATTGCCCCCCAACCCCGTGATGTGATTGATGACGTCATCACCAGGTCATGGGGGTTGACCCCCAACCCCTCTCAAATATATTACTCTCTCCAATAAATTACAGCTCTCCCCAGCCCCACATGACCCCCCACCCCCCCCCCCTC